TATAGTTTGCTATATTTATAATTTATAATATTCGGCCGGTGGGTTGTCTCGATTTAGTAAACCATAAAATTTCTGTCTCAGTCAATTCATTTATTTCCTTTTTTTTAAGAATTCGCCTAGAGCGATTCAGTTTTATTGCCTTTCTGGTATGGCAAATATCGTGTTTCTAATTCCTACCCTAAAATACCTAAAATAGCCAATTATGCACTGAGGCGAGCACGAAGTGTCACTTAAAGAGGTAAGCTTCGTTAAGCACTGTCGCGAGCCACTTTGGGCGTTTTCTGGTGGTTTGAGAGTGATGGTATTCTGCAAAATATACTCAAAAACTTGCTCATCCAAACTTATTGACGATTCATCAGTAACCATGTTGATTGTTGAATCCCCTAAAGTCATTGGTTTAAAACGAGTTATTTCTCAGTTTCATTCATAAGTTCCTGTGCAATCAGCTATATGGTTCAAACTGGAATAGTTCAATAACGTTTACTCCTAGTGGCTTCAAATAACACTACCTTTTTCACGTAAAAATGGTTGAGTGATTCAATTTTTTTACCAAAAATATACCACAAAGTTTAACAAAAATTCATGAGCCTTTGAGAAAATATCTATCATACCTCATGTCAAAAGCAGACAGGTACTAATTTTCATTCTGAAATCGGCACTACTTATTAAATGCCGTATGTCCAGCAAGTGAGTTTGCTCACCAAGTGCTTTTAGAAAAAAATTATCTGCGATTGTAGAGAAATCACCCTGCGAAGTGCTGGATACTTATTAAATAACACCCCGTATATCAATATCATATTTCATATTCGCTGGATAGCGGCGTCTTCCACGACAACGTTTGCGCAATCGAAGCACGTGCCAAAACAAAAGCGCATCAACGATATACGACGGTCACTCGAATGCCGCAACTAAAATAACGTTTTAGTATTCGTACACGGAAATGCAATAAACTGTCGAGGGGTTCCGGTGGTGATAAAACTCCCCCGGAGTTGTATTGCCGTCGCCGCTTTGAGGTTTCCCCGATACTTTTCCACTACTCCCCGTGAATACAAGTCGGGTGCTAATAGGAGTGTAAATATTGAACTTTCGCGCCCTCGTGACTTGGACGTACTTGGATAAGGGTCCGAGTCCGAAAGTTGCGTTTTTTCTGGGCTTGAAAGATTGGATATTTATTTTTTTAAATTGTTTTGTTTTTCCGTGGTAAAAATCTTTATCTTAATAATTTTCGCTATTTGGCGATACAAAATTATACAAAAGGTGCCCCAAATTCGATGATTTTAGAGGGTTTTGGGAGTTTATAGGAGAGGCAGAGAAAATCTGCTCTGTGTTTGCGAGTCTCAAAAATTTCAAGCCTTTCGTGGAAACTACATTCTGAAAAGTCAGCATTTTTCATTTTATTTATGAAAATTTCTATTTAGTGTAATTTGCTTTTTTATAGATTTTCCGCTATATAACTTACGACTTTTAGCTTTTGCTTTTAAATTTGTATTCCAATTCCTTTTAAAATGGCGCAATCTGGATGTCAAGTTCTATTATTTGTGATGAGTGTCACGCGGTTTTTCAAAATTAATTTCATAGGATATTTGTCTTTATAACTATGCAATGAGAATTACAATAAATGCATACTATAATGTAGCTGTCAAAGAATATTGCCGGAACAGTTGTTTAATTGTTACAGGGCGCATGGCAATTTGGATTCCTTCACGGTCACAACTTGCCATATGATTTACATAAAAAAAATACTAAAAAAACTACTTGACCACTTTTTTAAAGAATTACATCTTAAAGGAAATGAGGATACAAATCAGAAAATTAAAAAACCTTACGATTTATCAGAAAAAATACAAGTTAGTGCTCTATATATGCAGTTAGAGAGGTGAATTCTGTCATAAAATATAAATTTTCATAAACAAGGATGTTATGGAACTTACCCCAAAATGGAGACTTCTCCAAAAGACATATCGAAACGTAGTTTTTAGAAAAACAATAGCCTTAAAATTTGAGCCCGGAATTTTCCGTTTCTCGCCTAAAAGTACCTCCAAAAACAATCGAATTTAGGACACCATATATTATATTATTAAGTGAAATTTTAAAAATTCTTGAAGAAAACATAAAAGATAATGTGTTATTATTTTGCTAAGTATTTAGCAGTTTTAATAAACATAAAAAAAATATGATTCATAGTTTAAAAAATTAGTGTTATTGGCCCTATCAAGAATGCAGACTTTTAAAAAATTCTCAGTAGCTAAAAAGTAGATTGACATATCGAAATTTGTTTTTTGCAAACAAATGGTCTTGAAATTTGAGATCAGATATTACCCCTAGAAATAACCATAGAATTTTGAATACCCTGTACATTAAACCGAAAATTTTTCTCAAATACATTTTAATCAAACAAATTGAAAAATATTTCAAAATAGAATTCATAATTTTTCAAATTTTTGTGGACTTCTAGACAATGCGAGGTTATCACAGGATCTCGTAATTTTTGAAAATTATCATTAAGCATATTTCACAATCAGCGATTACTTTTATGAATAATAAAATGGAGGCAAAAAAGATCCCTAAAATCCTTTTTTTCCAGCTTTTAAACACATTTGGAGGCGACCATTCCGTTACATTGCACGGCGCCATTCGGAAAATGGATTTCTTATGATAATAATGTTTTGAAAACCACTCCACGTTAGAAGCCAATTTCGCCGTCGAATTTGCAATTTCACTGCTGCCATTTGAATTCAATAGGTCCGCCGTGACAAATAATCAGATATTCAGGCAGATACGTAAGGAGACTCCCGTATTGTTATTGTAACGAATGATTTTGTGATTCCTGTGACGGTCGGACGTAATCCGGATTTAAATGCGCGGTCCTGTATAATGAAAAGCGTTTGTACGATCCTAGATAAGGATGATTTTGTATACACACCCTGAATATTTTCGACTGGCCGACCGCGGATATTTAAAGACCGTCTGTTGCGGCCGTGTTGCTCAGGAGTACTTAAAATATAAAAAAAATTGTTTATTTAAACCTTAAGGTGTAAAAATAATCGTGATACCCAAACCAGCTTTTAATGTTTTCAAAATTATACTTCAAGACCCCAGAAACCACTATTACCCCATTTAATGAATATTAACTTTCTGATAATGTCTTTATTATCGGAAACAACCATAGACAACAATCTGCTTTGCACACAGCTTCACACAAGATCACTAAATTTAGATTGGAGTGATGACAACGCACGGTTAGACGAGATGCAATGCAATTCAGGCGTAAAAATTAACTTATTGTCCAGTAGTGTTGTTTTGCATTTACAAATGTAATAGACACCAGAGCAGAGCCAAAGGTCATATCACGCAGCATGTAAGTCTGCACAAGTTAAATTAGAGCAAGAAAGTCAAAAACGCGAAAAAAAAAATACATATAACATCAAAGACAAATTGGCAAATGAGATCACCTAATACGACGAAGAACAATTCCAAATTTTATGCCAAGAAGATATAAAAGATAAAGAGAAAACCACCAATTTATTGAGAATATAGATTCTCGTTTTGGCAGCCTGAATTATTTAGTGGACCAAAAGCACAAACTGTATATCGTAGAAAGGTTTTTCGATGTTGTCAAATTTACTCTTGAGTAAAATTCACGAACCGTATATTACTGAAAAAAAAAAGATATCTGAGGACCGCATTTTAGATTTTGGAACATTAACAAATTTTTATGAAAATCCAAGTTTTTTCTCTAAAATTAATAACAAGCTATCCCCGCCCCAGGTTTCAACTTACTGAAACATATGGTATATAAAAATATATATGATGTTTTTATATACTACGCCGATATTCCTATCTAAAAGGATATCAAAAATATAAACTGATTTTACACTAAAAACACATAATATTGTTATTTGTTTACCAAATTATAAATGGATTTACCAAAAAATGTAGGCCACTTCTCTGCTTCTCGGGTTATGAATATAATGCCTAATTTGGATTCATCGTAGGGGCTCAATTGTGATCAGTTATTAACTGTTGTCAGCTCTTTTTTGCAGATCAAGTCTACCTCATAATTTATGACTTAAAAGCAATTCATGTGATATCTCGGCTGATATGAAGTTTGGGTTTGCAATGCACCACGAAACATTCAATTCGTTTTGCGCGGTAAATAGTGAATCAGCTGAATGATTGACCGTTAGAAAATTTTCAGAAAAGGTACTTAACTCCTTCAAGCAGTCTTAAAATTCCCACGTTGTCAGAACAAAGAAAATAGGTTGCAAAAGAAAGGTATTATTGGTCGTCTTGGAAGGAAAATTAATGTCAGGTTCATCGGATAAATAAATAAGGAGTTTATAAAAAAAGATTTAGAATTCCCGAAGCTCTTTGTATATTTGAAGAGTGTTTCCATGTAGTTGTACTGCGGAGCACAGGACACACACGCATCGAACCACGTCTCCACAATATCAGAAATGCGGAAAAATATATTTCGTGTCAACGCTAAACAAAAAAAAACATTTGGCAATCTTGCGCCAGTTAAAAATAACAATCTACTGGTAATAATTCAACAATTTTAAAATGCTGTCGCTAGCTCTTTTGTCTGACTTTGAACTGCTCTATATTAGAGACACGCTTCCTTGAGAAATAATCGACGATATAGGGGGACGAATCTTTGCCGCTATTTCACTTTTCATTTATTATTTATTTTCCGACGGCGGTACACTTGCTCCCCCAAACGCCCACGATATCCCCCGACTCCACCGGGTCTAATCACGTCCCCGCAAAACCCGAAAGACGAACTTAAAAACTATGACGCGACATTCAGTGTCAGCGTGCTGCCGAGATGATGGGAGGTTGAGCCGATTACCAGGGTGGTTGGGTGGTCGGTTGCCATGGCCGCGGGGAGAATCATTTTCGTCGAGATGTGTACGTTTTGTTACCATGACAACGCGGGCTCTTCTCCCTTCCTCCTCGCTCTAATACCACCGCCGTTACGTACACTATATGGTATTTACCTGGAGGATATGAGACGGCCTGCAAGTTGGACATACCGAACGGTATGACTGGTCTGAGGTGGTAGTTGGGCCACGCGGCCGCCATGTTCAAGGGCGAGAAGAAACTTTGACCTCGGAGGCGACACTCGCCCCTGCACTGGCCCTGACAGGGTGGCCCGCGACACTGGCTTGAGCCCTGGCCACTCGGTTCCGCTTCTTGGGGTGTAATTTTGAGGCCGTGTATTGTCACTGCAATGAAATATACATTTCAGAACATTGAATTCGGAGGAGTGAGAAGAAAACTATTTTTTTGTTCCATTTTGCACCCGAAATGCGAAACTACAGTTTTTCTTGACTTGACAAGATTTGAAAAAAAATCACCCCTAACTTCCAAATTTTCTTCGGCAAAAATGCGAATGAAACGCCCTTTCAATTCCAATTCCACTAGAACCGTGTATGACTAAAGAAAATTAGGAATACCGGGTGTTCCAGTAGGGAAGTTGAAAAAATTGCGCCAAAGGAAAATAAAACGCTGGACCAGTATACTGAGTAGTTTTAAAGCTTGGACGAGTTCAAATCTTGTGGGACTTTTCCAACATTTTAGGCAATAAATGTAAAAAAATTCAAAAAGGCTAAACTAATTTTAATAAACTTAGCGTCGTTGAAACCACCAGATGCGGCAATAATGTGAGTGAGCAAAAAAATGCTAGTTTTGTGCTGGAAAAGATGAGACCATACTATTTTTTTGTCTCAATATAGAACCCAAAATATAAATAAAAGAATAAAAAAGCTCCAAAAAGAGTGGACCATATATATATGTATTATCACTTGTTTTCTCATTATCAATTAGTTTTAACCCATTTTTTGTGAGTTAAAGGTTCTGTTTTAGGATAGGATAAAAATATTGAGATGCGATTTTCACCAAGTTGACTTAATATTTGGTTTGCATTTGCTTTTCACAAATCCATTTTTTGTCATTGTCTCCATCTGGTGGCGTAGTAAGCCACCATTATTAGACTATGAAAAGCCCTTTTTAACAACTACTAAATTTATTGGAACGAATTGAGCCTTGGTATAAAGGAAGCAGATAAATTCAGAACTATTGTTACGGACTGTATCGTACATTTGCCAGTCAGTGCGTTGCTTATTTGGTTGTAGAGAAAAAGCCTCATCGCGCTAAATCTAACAATAGGCGTAATACTCTAGTAATATTCGCAAATAGAGTCGAGTCGGCATCAACTAATCTTCGAAAACAGCCCTTATTGTCAAAATTGTTTACGTGAAAACCCGGTATCAACAAAACTGTTTCCGAGAAAATCTTTAATTTAAAAAAGTAATCCTCAAAGGCAACGTCCGACTCTATTGGCAGCACCAAAAGTTTCGCTTCTACATCCCTAAATGTTTGATAATCTCTTACCTCGTTACGGGGAAAGGTAACCAGGCGTAAAAGCAACTTATCAGATTAAGTAAATTTTGTAGGGAGATTGTCGAACGACCCAAGAATTCGTTTTCGAACTGAACAAATTCGCAACTTTCACGTTTTGTTGATAACGATCACCTTTGGCGGTTTTTACTTCGCGAACGCAGTTGAGTTTAATGTGAACATGTGTAATAAACGTAAGCTCGCGTTTATTAAACATTTCAAACGCTCGTGACAAATCAAACTCGTGACTAAAGTAACCTTTTTTGATTTTTGAAACGATTTAAGATACCGAAATGTAATTTAGACAACAAATACCTTTTATTGGGTCATCAATGTTGCTGCTGGCAAAATTTTTATTTTTATGGGCAAAAATTATATTATTTAAACAATTTTTCATAAAAACGTACTCTTGTTAAAAGCGGAAATAAAACAAGGTTTGGAGATACCTGAGGAATTAGCAAGTAATGCAGACTAAATTAATTGGAAATTAACAATCAGGTAACAGGAGGTATTTTCGAAGACATGTCTATTATTAATTAATTCAATTTAAAAGAATGCTTTTAATAGAAAAGTAATTTCTTTACACAGTTTCGTAAATTATTTAACTTTTAACATAAAAATCATTCTAAATTTCCAAGTTTTATCTGTTTAATCAGCTTATTATGAAATGATAGAATGAAAACCGCATCGACATGATCCCTTATTTATCCATTAATATTAACGATTTCATAAATTATTAACTAGAACAAAAAAGCCATCATTCCCACAGACACAACAAATGAGAAAAAAATCACTGTCGATTTTGTTTCGTAAAATAAATACGCACGTAAATGGTTATTTGTCAATTATATTAATGCATTATAAATTACACCAGCGAATAATATCAATGTTCACATGCCGGCGAGCTAATCCGTATTAATGGCGAAGAAGAAGTTATTATAAATTATAGGTAAGTATGAATACTGTCCCGATCTTTGATATTGACTGAGAATTTTATGCAGCGAATAGTAATAATTGAAATAATATAGGCTTGTTCCATAATATAACGTCATAACTCTTATAAATTGAGTTAGTAAATAATATTTCTACAAAATTCAATAATCTTAAAAATTCTTATTTATAAAATGACCACCTGGAACAACTCCCCGGCTAGTATGAATAGTCAACAAAAACTATAGGCAATTTTTAGAGTACGTTTTGTGTTGCCTAGCGTGTTTCATATTCAAAATGAGTCCACAAGAGACAAATAATTATTGTATAGTTAGAGAATAAAGGCATGGAAGTATTAATCCTCCAAAAAACGATTTATTTTCGTACCATCCGATCTGTGAGTGTTATTTAGAAAAAAATATAACTATTAGTATGTGCCACCTTCGTGTCTCGCAAACAACTCATCTGAAATGTTATTTCCCTTTTGAATCCACTATTTCTATTGTACTTTCTGCGAAAGATGGGCCTCTTAAAATCGCGAAGCCATTCCATTATAAATCTTAAAAAACTTTAAAAACGTTTTGTTGTTTACACTATCGAGATGCTTCTTGTAAATTTCAAAGTTGTGGAAAACTCCAAAAATAAATTAAATTTCTCAAAAAAAAAAGTACTATATGGATTGGCGGACTGTGTCATGATAGTAGCACACCCATATAGTCACATATTTTTCTAAATAACACTCACAGATCGGATGGTAAGGAAATAAATATTTTTTAGGACATTAATGCCCTTTATTCTGCACTCTGGAGCTATGCAATATTTATGTGTTTTATTTGGCCTCATTTTGAAGGGGGAAAACACAAAAAATATTCCGAAAATTGCCCTTTATTAGCGAACTGACTTGGTATGACCTAATCACCCAATAGATGTAATAGATGTGTGAATGTGAAACATTGTTTAGATAAGTTACCTGTTGTTAGCTTATTCGCCAGTTATCCATAACCCGTCCGATCACAAAAGTCACAACTTGAAAACACCACAACTAACTTGGTAACTGCTTGCAAAATTATCGTCAATGTTCCGCGCGTAAACCATCTAAATCGCATGTAGCAGCCCTTTTGTTAAAGTTCGAGAGTCAACTGAAGGTAAAATGTTGATTTCTAATGCCCGGCAGGTAGATTGCAGATATTCTATGAAGGGTAGTTCTGAAGTGCGGTAGAGAGGGTGGTTTTGCCATGGGAGGGGACAAAGATGCAACCGTTAAGCGAGGCATTAGACGATTTGATTTAATTCCAGCCTCAGTAAAAATATTTATATTAAGTCATGAAGAATATTGAATGAGGAAATATATCTAGATTTAATTAGTTGGATATCATGTGTTCCAGATAGACGCTTACTCTTGAATCATTATAGAAAGCATCTAATTAAGTAAGAAAGTGTTACTTAAGATTCTGGATTTCAATTCTAAATGCGTCATTGGATTTCTGTTACTGTTTCTTGTGCTTCTTCTATTAAAAAGTTACAATTTTTCCTTCTAGCCCAGAAGTCATAGGCGCTATCCAAAATCTGCATATACCATTTTCCAAGTATCAAAAATCAACGCAATTATATGAAAACATCATCTTTGCATCTTTAATAAAGACAAAAGTTGTCAAAAACGCATACCTAGAAATGTGCACCTGGTATATCGTATATTCGCAAACAATACAAAATAGACTCGGATTAACCTAATCAATCGCAAAAGTGGTTAAAGTAAATGCGCTCTATAACAGGTTTGCTGATATCAAACGTCAGTAAAACAAAATTAACTTTTAAATTAATCCTGGAATTAATCCTACGATAACGACACTATAACCACGGGTGAACATTAAGATCGTTAAAAGGCAACGACTGTCTTTAACTTCGCCAAATGTTTTATTGCTGAAGAACAATTACTTCTATCCCCAATTGTGGCTTATGACGGTGGAATTTTCTGGGAAGCTTTCATTAATGGATTAACTAACCTTCCTAGGGAATATCCATCAAGAAGTTAATAATAATCCGTTTACAGGTATATTCCTTGATCGTCAAATGGATAATGGGTTACCTTATACAGGGCGATATTTTTGGCGCCCTAGCGAAAGCTAATTATATAGGTGGCTTTCGTTAAATTATTTTCCAATAAGTAAATTGTACAAACTAAACTACAATTTTTAAACTGGCGCCAAATGTTTTAAGCTTGAACAATGTTGGTCCGCAAATTAATTAAATTATAAGAAAAATGGTTAAAGAGTTAAAAATAAAACAATGGAATAAGTACGTAAGGTGATGTGCGTTTCTACGCAACTGTGCAAAGCTTCATACACAACGTTACGAATTAACAACAAAAAAGTAGATAAATTTGATAATTTATAAATAAATAAATAAAAGTGTCTCAATTTAGTTAAAAGGTTCTTTTGAAAACAATTTTTTATAATTGGCATTCCTAAAGCAAAGAGTGGTAAATGCATTTATGGAAGGTACCAATCAAGCTGATATTTCAAGACAGTTTATGTTACCTCAGTACAGCGTATCTAGAATAATTTCATCGTATAATGACAGAGGACACTTAGAAAAATTGCCGAAATCGGGAAGTCCCAAAAAAAAACAACGATTTTGACTGACAGGCGCATTAAAACAATTGCTCCTTGGAAGGCCGCACCTCGAATAATTGCCGAAATTCCAGAAATTACGGTTGGTATACGAACTGTGCAAAGAAGATTAGTAACTTCAAAGTTGTTCAGTAGACGGCCAGCAAAAAAACCGCTAGTTTCAGCAAGAAACAGAGCAGCAAGGAGGGCCTTTGCACGCCGGCATTAAACTGGACCAGTAATGACTGGAAAAAAGTTCTATTCAGCGATGAAACGCGATATAAAAT